GAAAATTTTCTCCAGCATCAGGTCTACCCTTAAAAGAAGTAAGATTGCACTAGTAGTTGAGAAAGTCAATCAGAAGACTGGCCACAAGTCTCACAGACCCTAAACAGTCAGACCTAAAGTCATTCAAAAGGTCCTAATTTCATTTAATGTGGTAGAACTATGATCTGTAAATTCAAGTTTCAGTTATTTGCTCTTGTGATGTCACATAAGTCACCTCTCACTGATCCCTGGATTCCTCATCGGTAAAACTATAGTTCTATACAACTGTAAAACCATGCTATTCTCCTCCTTGAGTTTCTGTAGTAAGAGGGAAGTCATTCTCCTCTACAAGCACACCGACTTGTTTAATAAAACCATACACATTTATGCACTTTGAACGGAGTATATTAATTGGTACGATAAATATGCAGTCTAACTGGCGAGCAGTCCTTGTGCTAGGTGCTGAGCATGTGGAGAGGAATGAAATATGACCCTTATTCCTGGACAGTGCTCTGTCCAGACTGAGAGCGGGCCAATAGAATCTCGTGCAATAAATGCTCTAAGAACCACATCGAGGAAGCGGTGTGGGCGGCCAGAGGCGGAAGCAACAACTCCACAGTGAGTTATCATTATTCTAATTCCTAGACTTGAACAGCAGAAAGAAACTGAGTTGTGCACAATGATAGCAGAATGCGTAGCATGGTTAGGGAGAGAATAAGACTTATTCCACAATCGAAGATAAAATGAGCATCAACATTCCTTATCTACTGATATAGTTCTTTGAACAGCATGCCTTATTATAAATATGTATTTGAGTGATTTGATTTATAAGTCTAAATGCCACAGTTGAAACTATTTCAGCACAAATCCCAGATTGTTAGTTCCTTGAAGGAGGATGTTTGGTCTTGTTTGCTTCTGGATGTAAACCCAGCACTGGGAACAGATTCTGGCACACAACAAGCACTTAATAATAGTCACTAAATCAATGAACAAAGGGTTCTAGTCTAGCATCAGATCTTCAGTAGTATGTTTCTAGACCTATGCTTTGAGCTTCTTAATTGCAATTTTGCTCTACCATTCTCTTTCTGTGTTGTAGGCTTTTCATTGTTGCTTTTTTGTAAAGGATTAAAAGTGGAAGTAAGAAGAAGCACAAATCGATGATACATCCACCAGTTAGTCTATTGTGTTAGTCTGGGTACTTTAGAAAAACAAATACACAGAAACTCATTTATAAAAGAGTTTAATATAAAGGCTA